GCAGCAATTCCCCCATGGAAATTCAGGGGGTCAGGCTGGAGCTGCCCAGGGAGATTTGGGGTNGGGGTTTCTGCTGCTGGAGGCACAGCGGGTCCTGCCCTGTGCAGGGCCAGCTCTGGGGTCACTGCAAGGCTGCTCCACCCCTGCCTCAGTGTCCCTGCTCCACCAGGATATCTGACAGGTCCTTGGTGCTCTCCAGCTTCAGATTCTGGCAAGGTAAAGGGAAAGCTGAGTTTGGCACAGGCAGGCTGCTCCTCCTGGGGGCTGCAGGAATTCAGAACATCTGCTGGAGGATGAGAGATGTTCCTCTTCTCCCAGGGAACAGGGGCAGGAGCAGCAATTCCCCCATGGAAATTCAGGGGGTCAGGCTGGAGCTGCCCAGGGAGATTTGGGGTCCCCATCCCTGGAGGTGTCTGAGGAACTCCTGGAGGTGGCACTGAGTGCTCTGGGGAGAAGGTGGGGATGGGGCACAGCCAAAGATTGGACTCTGTAACATTGGAGGGCTTTTCCAGCCTCAGGGATTCTGTGCCATTATCCAGAGTCTGGACATGGATAATCCCTCAGGGATTCTGTTCCATTATTCTGGGTATGGATAATCCCTCACGGATTCTAGATATGGATAATCCCTCAGGATTCTGGGATTCTGTTCCATTATTCTGGATATGGATAATCCCTCAGGATTGTGGGATATGGATAATCCCTCAGGATTCTGGGATTGTTCCATTACCCAGATTCTGGGTGTAGATAATCCCTCAGGATTCTGGAATTCTGTTCCATTATGCAGATTCTGGATATGGATAATCCCTCACGGATTCTGGGTGTGGATAATCCCTCAGGATTCTGGGATTCTGTTCCATTATTCTGGGTATGGATAATCCCTCAGGATTCTATTCCATTATCAGGATTCTGGATCTGGACAATCCCTCAGGATTCTGGATATGGACAATCCCTCAGGATTCTGGGATTATTCCATTATTCTGGATGTGGATAATCCCTCAGGATTCTGGGATTGTTCCATTATTCTGGATGTGGATAATCCCTCAGGATTGTGGGATTATTCCATTACTCAGATTCTGGAACACCCACGGTGTTTGGGGACAGCTCTGAGGAACAAAGCGGTGCCACCCCAGGCCAGGGGAGCACAAAGCGGGGATTCTGCAGGTTCTGAGCCCATTCCCAGCCCAGAATTCCCAGGATTTTCTGTCTCTCACCTTCTCGTTGGCCAAATGCAGGAGGCACACRAAGGCCAAGGGCACTGACAGGTTGGTGGCCATGGTGGGAGGCAGCCTGGAGAAAGCAGGGTTGGGATCAGGATGGGAAAACCTCGGGGAATCCCAGAGACAAAGTTCAGATCATCCCAGGGAAATGGGAAATTCCCCAGGAAAATGGGAAGGGGAGAGGGGAAAACGGAAAGCGGAAAAAGCAAGGGAAGGGGAAAAAGCAAGGGAAGGGGAAAAAGCAAGGGAAGGGGAAAAAGCAAGGGAAGGGGAAAAAGCAAGGGAAGGGGAAA